TTTCTGTCTGCTTAGATTAATTAAGTTAATGGGAAGCCACTGTCTTGGGCCACGTTCCCTCTGAAGACATCTAGAGATCAACCAGACCAGTATGGAATCACTTCTGCTAGGTGACATTAATCAAAATGAATTTTAAAATGGGCCAGTGTAGGGGGAGAGAGTGAAAAACTAAACCCACATCAACCACCTGGGGCGGGCCCATCTTGCCCCATCCAGGCCGACAGAGAGGCCCCTTCCGTGTCCTTTGAGGGAGACCCCCTTACCCGCGTCCTTTGAGGGGGACCCCCTTATCTGCATCCTTTGAGGGAGACCCCCTTATCCGCGTCCTTTGAGGGGGACACCCTTATCCGCGTCTTTGAGGGGGACCCCCTTAAACCACCAGGCTGCTTCCTGTTCGTATCTCTGCTCTTCTCTCTCCAGTCCTTCTCTGCCCCCCAAAGATGGCTCCCTCCTTTCAGTCCAGAGGTAGAGAGTGAGATGTCGTTCAATTCTGGATTCCCTACTACACGCCAGTTAGGTTTCCCAGCTAGATCTGTCGTGATGCTTGCCGACTTTGAACACGGAAATTAAAGAAGGGGGCTCCCTTTCTTTCTCACCGTTCTTTCTTTCATTTCCCCCCTCTTCCTCGTGCCTGCCCCTCTCCCTACCTCTTGCCCGCCTTCCCTCCTGCCCCAGACCGTTCACTCAGAGTTTAGGCAGTTTGAGCCTGAATGCAGAGTGTGTGAGCACTCTGTGACATGTAGCTGTTTCCAACGTGACAGCCCTAACCATCAGGACCATGGTATCTGGGAAATCTACCTGCCTCGGGTGGTGTGTGTGTGTGTGTGTGTGTGTGTGTGTGTGTGTGTGTGTGTGTGTGTGTGTGGAACAAATATCTGATCCTATTTTGTAGTCTACATCGATGCCCCTTAAGACTCCTGGGTCAAAGTGTTGCCTCCTTAGTCAGCACTTACCACTAGCAAGACGCAGAAAGTAGTGTTGAAACAAGCAATTTGGGTTTCGAATGCACAGAAAAGAGATTACAAGTGTGAGTGTTGTCCGTGGGCTACCTCTGTGCTGCATGAACGGCTCACGAGAAAGCAAGGGAGGCCTCAAAGCCCACTCCCACAAAGACACACCTACTCCAAAGAGGCCACGCCTCCTAACGGTGCCACTCCCTTTGGGGGCCATTTTCTTTCAAACCCCCACCGTGGTGATACATGATGAGTCATTGACTCAACTTTCTAGCTTCATTGTACGTTGTCTCTGACCATCCAGTATTCCGACTCAGGCCGCCACCACCCTCCGGCTCCCAGCTACGAAGGCTGTGTGTTGTCCTGCTCCAACCCATCAGCCCTCACTGCCCCCACTGTCATTTGTCCTCACTGCCCTCCTGCACGGTGCCTGCTCTGAGTCTCATGCAGTCCCAAGCTGCGCTGCTGGCTGCCTTCACCCCGTGCTCCAGCCATCTCTGACCTCCTGCTGCCTCCTCCTCAGAACACTGCTCACTCTGCTCAGAGTTTGTGATATTTGTTAAGTATCTGTTAAGTATCTCATTTGTTCTTTACTTTTCTCTTGCCAACCATACAATTTATTTGTGCATAAACTCAGAGATTTTTTTTAAATCTTATGGGAAAAAAATCCCTGGAAAGAAGCTGTGTGCAGAGAGGCTGATGGGCCGACTAAAACAGTAAGGACTGCGGGGAGGCTGGATTGTCGCCATTTCAGAGCACAGCTGCTATTTATCTTAATCAACACTCAGTCTTCCAAACACCATTCCATAGCCACCTCTACGTCAGACCTAACCTGAGAAACAGATTAGAACCATCACAACGTATTGTCTTAAAACCGGATTCTCCACCAATAAGGGCTAAGAATACCGTCAGGTAACTACTGAGGCTCATCTGCCTGGCTGTAAACCGCTTTTCTGAGGTCCTCACCGATGAGTTTTCAAATTTCTTTGATTTATGACTTTCTTTGTTCTAATATTATTAAACCACTTCCGTTTTGGAAGACATGTAAGTGGGGTGACCTAAATCTGTGCTTTTCCAGGCCATGGTCACCCAAACTTGGCTGCAGGATAAGCTGCCTTTTATTCTATTTCTGCTGAGAGATGGGGCATTTTGTGTGTGTGTGTGTGTGTGTGTGTGTGTTGACAACCTAAATTTTTGTCTCATTGGTTTTTTTTCCTTATCAAATTCAACAGCTGGAATACAGTAGGCTAATTTTTTTTCAAATATGCGGAGATAGAGGATTTTACAATGAACACCAAAGAATGTGTGTCTCCTCGTGTTATAATTTCTCATCAGCTATTTATTCATCTCTCAATCATTTTGCCTCTGCATCAATGCCCGGTTAACTTCTGATGACTCTGTCAAGTGAATGGAGGTTACTCTATCGGTCCGTAGTCTGAAACCGTTCACGGGAAGGTGCCTGATACACAGGTTGAGCTTCCTCGTACAGAGTTTGGGGAGCTGAAGAATGTCCACCTGCTAGTCCCCGTGCCAACCACCTGGCACTCAGAGACAAGCCGACTCTGTCCTCTAGGAGTATACTAGTTACCCAGATGAGTTCGTGACAGAAAAAGAAAATGAAGAGGTAGAACATGTGTTACTGATTCTTTTTTTACACGTAATGTAGACTAATCAATGATGTTATGATAAAACCATCTGGTTTCTTTTTTTGGCATTTTGTGTGTTATGGGTTGGCTTTTGCTACTATACAAGTAGGCGAAGCAGGGTTGGGTATTTATTTATTTATTTGTTTGTTTGTTTACTGCTTTGGCCAGTGCTGAGTATTTATGAGCCCCTTGGAACCTGAGACCCTTTGGGTTCTCTTGTTTTAAGTTCTAAGCATACTGTCCTGGTATCTACATAGTGGGGACAAAGGGGAAGCCTACAGTGTTTCCAGAACAGGCTGACTGCAGCCAAAGTGCAACACAGCTCTGCCAAGGCTGAAGCAGCAGACACAGGCAGGTGTGGCTTTCTTCCCTGTTGCGCACTGGTAGCTTTAAAACAACAGACAAACAAACACACAAACTTTTGAGTATGCCTTTTGGATGCTGTGTTGACTATCTTTGATTATTCAGAGACAGTGGTCACCTTTGATGTGACCTCCCAGGATGGTGTTTTGTAATAATCCTTTATTAACATCTCCTCTGTCTACTGGCGTTTATTTTAACTCCTATTTTTAGAAGGTAGATTTGAAGGTCAAAGCGGTGTCTTTGTGACTGAATTCTAAAAGTGCTGAGCAGGAAGCCACCTACAGAAGGGTGCTGAGTCACCGTGAATGGGAATGCATTCAAGGGCATCCTTAAACTGTTAACGAAAAGTGAAGACACTCTTTCTAAGATCGCAAGAGGGTTGGGTGAACAACCCCCCTCCCCCAGTACAGCAGCCAGCAGCCAGGGTGGCGGCTGGGACTCCAGACATGGCTGTCTCTTCATGCTCTCGCTTTTTCATGTGATGGGCATTTGCTTTCTAACTTGTCAGTGATGCTCATCTCTCACACCAATCTCCCACAAACTTCCAGGTGGTCCTCACCTTGCTAAGCTGGTGATAGCTAACTGACTTTGAACAAGTTGAGTTTTCTAAGCTCCAGGCACCTTTTTCGTTACTGGGAGACCTGGATACCGACTATGTCATGTAACGGAAGCCACGTAACCTGCAAAATGTGTTATCTAGATTTGAGAAGTTTGTTGGTCTGAGGGCTAATTTTCATTGTCAACTCAATTTGATTTAGAACAATCATGGGAACATATCTGGGTGTGTCTATGAGGGTGTTTCTAGAAAGGTTTAACTGAAGTTGCAAGGCCCACTTTGAAATGGGCAACGCCATTCCTTGGACTAAGGTCTTGAATTGAATAAAAAGGAGAAAACAGGCTGAGCGCCGGCACTCATGGTTCGCTGCTTCCTGACTGGCTGCAGTGTGAGCAGCTGCCTCGTGTTCCTGCCTTCTCCACCACCCGCGCTGGATTCCAACAGGAGCCCCGAGAGACCCTTCCTTCCCGGAGCTTCTCCCTTCCGTGTTCTAGCACAGCAGTAGGAAAAGAAACCGGCACCTCGGCAAAGGTTTGCTTTACTCTGCCGTTTGCGATCAGGTTCCGGGTTAGATTAGTAGGGGTGCCTGGGGAATGCCCTGTAGGGTGCAGTAAAGACAGGGAAAGCAAGTACAAACTGGGCTTTATCTATCAAAGTGAACTCAGGTTTATTTTGCAAAAATTAACAAGCATATATTCATATCTGGTCTCTCTTCAAAATGCATGCTTTGTTTATTTTTTTAAGCAGACATGCAAGTTGATTTTGCATACCAAATATTCTTCTTTTTAGCGTTCCTTGGAATATTTCCCCCCTAAAACAAAGGTGCCAGTGTTGGCCAAAACGTGTTTATTTTTTACCCTCCAGAAATGCTAATGCTAACATTTATTGGGAGGAAAGAAAATCTGCAAGGCTTTCATGTTTGATCAGCACTATAATAAAAATCTTACATTTGCTTTGAAGATGAGCATTTTGAGGGAAATTTAATAAATCGTGTTTCTTCTGTGCAAAGGAGCCACTATATCAAAGCGCGTAACTGGAGCTGTCGACTTCCTGCTGGTAGACTATTACTTCCAGCCTATTTATTAGCTTCTTACTGTAGCCCAGGACACACTGTCTTCCTTCCACATAGTGAAGCTACAGGAAAATGACCACTCTCTTCTCTTGCCACCAGCATCATGCAAGGCGGGGCATGGTCAAAAGTCACAAGATCTGAATTTGCTTTGATTATATTCATTTTTAAACTTAAATTGTTCTGTAGTACAATATTTACTTGTTTATTTAAAATCATAAGTCATTTAAAACTATATGAACTTAGATTTCAGAGTCATTTGAAACAATGCCCGAACCATATCTGAAAGAAAATAGTTGTCTCTGGCCTATTCTTTTGCTTTTGAAGTAAAAGAACTTCAGGTAAAACAAAGAGAATGAAAATTTTAAAAAGAAGAAGAAAATAATTTTAGGTATTAACTATTTACCAGACAATAAGACTTTAAAGGTTTGTTTATTTTAGTCATATCATTTAATAGTTTGTAAACAAGAGCAGGGTACTTTTGACAGTAGCCTATGAAGAATACTTTTTGTAACATATCCTTTAGTATAGAACAATATGAAGGCAGCATTTTAAATAAGATTCTGTCACGTTTCTTAAAAGCCTATTTTCCAGAAAAGTGTTATTGGAAAGCATCCGGATTTCAAAAGAGATCTAAAGCCACCGAGTTGAGTGAATGTGGGCAATGGGGTCAAGTCAATGCATTTTCTACCATCGGACACACACAACGCTGCATGGACAAAAGCAATTGGGAGGACACCTAGTTCCGACTCCAGGCAGGACGCGAGTGCATAGAAAGAGTGCTGGTCAGGTCAGAGGTGAAAGGTGATGCTGTCACCTAAGTCAGCAGGCAATAAGCCACATGAACACATCATGCCATTCATGTCACAGGATTCCGAGGACATCAGCTAGAAACTGAACTGTGATATCCACATATTTTGGAAAAAAACTCCCAAGCCAGGCGGATGTGGATGGGGATGAAGACATAGGCAGTGTATACTACCATAGCAACAATGGTCAGTAAGATGGTATTGAACATGGACTGCTCCCAGGGTTCCAGGACAGCACAGCAGCTGATGATTTGGTACTGATAGTACAGCCAGGCAAAATACTCCTTCACACTTTTCAAATCCATGGTTCCTCCTCAAGCTGTGCAAAGTCTTCCTGTTTAAGAAAATGACACCACAGAAGAAAAATAAGAAACAGAACACACAATCTTTTGGTAATATACAGTAAATTCCTACTGTTACTATTCCCATAACCTGAAATTTTGGGCAATGAGTATCCATGTCTCTAGTCCTAATATAAACCTTGAGTGCTATCCCATAATAGGTTTACTGGGCTTTAAAAATATTGTGTGTACAGATACTCTTCAACTTATAATGGAGATACATCCCCAAAAGCACCAAGTTCAAATATTGTAAAGGAAAAGAAAACCAAACCGCACTTAATATACTTAGCCTATTGAACACCAGGGTTTAACCGTGCAGTACATGATAGAATACCATCTAAGGGTGCCCGGAAGCTGTGACTCACTGCTGCTTCCCAGCATCACTGGAGTATTGCATGATATAGTAAAGACCAGGAAAGGATCTAAATTTAAAATAGGAAGTATGGTGGTTTCTTCCGGTCATGTACCACAATGAACACTGAAATATCACATTGGGACTTTAGTCAGTTGGAGACTGCAGACACATTGCTGCCTGTTTTAAATGGTAGGGTAGAGGGCATCAGAAGCCCTCAAGTGGACTGATCTAGAGTGCTTGTGTCTTCATTTCCTACTGGTCCTGTTGTATACAGTTTTGATGTAGTATGTTTTGATTTTGATCACATATATATGTTGAGTCTCATGAGGACTTCTAGTGAGTCACTGGAGATGTGGGTAGTCTGGGAAACCCCCAAAACAAACAAGAAGCCCATATCAGCCTCTTACTCCTTCCATTCTCTCTGCCATGCAAGGAAACAATCTTCAAGGCATGCACCATTTTGGATGTAGAGATAGACCCTCACAAAGCACCAATCTAATAGCACCTTGGTCTTGGACTTCTCAACCACAGAACTGTGAATATTTTTATATTAGCTAGATTTCAGTACTTTGTTATAACAGCCTGAATGAACCAAGAAATACTGATGCCAAAATCCAACATCCATTCATGAGACTAGGGATATATGTGATATATCTCAACATAATAAAGGAAATCTACAGGAAGACTATAGTCAACCACACCCTAAATGTTGTATTTCCAAAGTATTTCCACTAAATCAAGAACAAAACAATGTCCATTATTTCCCTTCCTGTTTGACAAAGTACTTGAACTCTTAGCTAGACCAATAAGACAAGTGAAGGAGATAAAGAAGATACAGATAAGAAAGGAAGAAGTCAAAGTAGCTTTGTTTATAGACTACCAGAAAACTGCTACTAATAATAAACACACTCAGCAAAGTAGGAGGATATTACATAAGTAGCCTTCGTATGAACGAATGACAGATACATTTAGACAACTCAAGAAAACTGATTCACAGTAACCTCAACAACAACCACAAAACAAACCCACAACTCACTCCATGTATGTGTGAGAGAGAATAGATTTCATATGTACATGAAAAACTTGTGCCATGAAAATCTTGAGACACTGAAATAAGAAACTGACAGCGATACAAAGCTTTCCCATGTTCATAGATTGGCAGGGCTAACACTGTGAAATATTTTCTGCCATCCTACCAATCTACAGAATCAATATTTTCCATATCAAAACTCTAACACAGCCGGGCATTGGTGGCACACGCCTTTAATCCCAGCACTCGGGAGGCAGAGGCAGGCGGATCTCTGTGAGTTCGAGGCCAGGCTGGACCGACAGCCTCCAAAACAATACAGAGAAACCCTGTCTCGTAAAAACCAAAAAAAAAAAAAAAAAGAAAGAAAGAAAGAAAAAAAAGAAAAAGAAAAAAAGAAAGTAAAAATGTAAATCTGAAAGAGCAAATAAAACATTAGTAAAAAAAGACGCTTACTCCTATTTAGAGCGGAACCTCCATGATGAATTCACCTTGTTTCCAAGGCAGCCTCTGGTTGTTTCTGTGGAGCTAGCTGGCCTGCGAACTTGCAGGAGTCTCCTGTCTCCATCCTCTGTATTGCCACAGAAGTGCTGAGATTCCAGATGTCCATGATCACATCTGACTTTACAGGTGGGTTCCAGAGATCAACCTGGGTTCATCAGGCTTGTATAGCAAGCACTTCAATCCACTCATGGGTCCCTAACTGAGCCTTTTCATACTGCTGGAGATTAGTTTGACATCGAGTTCAGAAGGGATGGAGGCCTTCAAACCACAGCATGGTGATAATTTCAACGGGCAAAATTGTCCCAGAAACCAAGATTTCCCACACATGGAAACAATAAAAGTGATGAGTACTTGAGGTCTGACAGTCCTGCTAGACAAGTTAATTAAAGAAATCTTATTGAAAACTCTCCACAGTGGCTTCCCTGTAATTACTCAGGGTTTAAGAGACGGCCAGGCAGCTGGTGGAGGAGCCTGGGGCCTCCTTACTAGGTATCCAGTGCCAGGTGCTGCTGGGTGAAGAAGTCTTTATGGCTCAGCAGACACGCCTCTTCTCCTAAGGAGTGTAGACTAGTTGGAAAGACAGATCCTAAACAGTTACACCAAATGAATACACAATTATCCACTATGTCCCATGCCCTGAAGGGAAAGTGTAGTGTTCAAGGAGCTTTCATAACCCTGATCCAGTAAACACAGTCTGAGGAAAAGATAAAATAACAGGCATGGCTAAAACCCAAAGGAAAGGGACATGAGGACGGGAGGAGGGGCGGCAGGGGAGGGGCAGGGGAGAGGACTAGGGGAAAGGCTAGCGGCAAAAGGGAGCTTAGGAGGAGGTCAAAAGTCCAGGAAAGGTCCAGAATGGCATAAATCCCAAGAGGCTAAAGAGATGCCTTATGCCAGCATGAAGCCAGGTCTGTCTGTCTGTCTGTCTGTCTGCCTTTTCTTTTCTTTTCTTTCCTTTTTCTTTTCTTTCTCTTTCTTCTTCTTCTTCTTCTTCTTCTTCTTCTTCTTCTTCTTCTTCTTCTTCTTCTTCTTCTTCTTCTTCTTCTTCTTCTTCTTCTTCTCCTTCTCCTTCTCCTCCTCCTCCTCCTCCTCCTCCTCCTCCTCCTTCTTTTCAGATAGCATTTCTTTATGTAGCCTCTGCCTCTCAGGTGTTGGGATTAAAGGAATGTGCCACCACCACCTGGCATCAATTATTTTTCTTTAACCCATGATTCTGAGGGTCCCAGAGGTTATTGGCAGGAGGAGGTTGTAGTGTTAGGGAGGAGGGGTTAACTCATGGGTGCATCCTAAAGCCAAGGTGAAACGATTTGCATACCACTCCTTTGGGAGCTCTACTCCTCTGCTCTTCCCATGGGTACTGCTTGTCCAGAGTCAACCATGAACTGAAGATTTACAAAAAATGGTAATACTCTTCAGTTTTGTGAATGATCTAATATTACATTCACGAATGTCATTCGCTTTTCTTCTCACTATTGTGTTGTTTTTAACACAACAATTAATCTGCTGGCTGATGTTTTCTACTTTAAAATTAACTTTTTGCTTGGACATCCCTGGCAGATAAGTACAGCAGTCTTTTGAGAAACTCTGAGCCAGAGGCACCCCGCTAAGCTGTGGAAACTGTGGGATAATAGGTATCCATTATTTAAAGCTGCTGAAAGTCAACCAACAATCAAAGAAATAACAGATTAAAAAGCATATGAACATATGTCACACCAAAGGCAGACACTTTGGTCACAAATGTCACAGTGCTTTAGAAATGGACATTTGGAATATACTTTCATACTAAGAACAAAATGTTAAGGTTTATTGACTGTTTCTGTTAGTATTCTGGAATCTGTACTGGCCTGTCCTTGGGGTTCTGACAGGATACACCCTCAGCTGCAGCCACTAAGAGCACCACCTGTGCACATTCACTGTGTTCCCTTTTAAAAGGTCCCTGCCACCTCCCATCCTTCTCTCTCTCTCTCTCTCTCTCTTTCTCTTTCTCTCTCTCTCTCTGTCTCTGTCTCTGTCTCTGTCTCTCTGTCTTCCTCTCTCTCCCCCTCTTTCCTTTCTCCTCTCTCTGGCTGCTTCTGTCTCTGGAGGCAGGTCTCCCCCCTCCCTTTCCCTTTTCTATGATCTATTTCCCCTTAATAAAATGGTGTCTTTCTCTTGCTTACCACTTTTCTTAAATCACAATTTTCATATCTCATTTCTCAGACTTGTAAATTTCCAGTTCTACCTGTGAAAAGTGCTTTTTGCAGATTTGTTTATTTTCATGTGTATGCACAAGGGTACCTGTGGAGGCCAGAGGAAGGCGTCCAACCCCCTGAAGTCAGAGATATAGGCAGTTGGGAGTTGCTTGATATGGGCGCTGAGAAGGAACCTGGGTTCTCTGCAAGAGCAGCCAATGCTCTCAGCCACTGAGCCATCTCTCCAGCCCTGGGGGAATGTGCTTTTATTATCTGTCTCGTTTTAATCTCACCAGCTCTAAAAGCTCGTTCAAGAAGGCATTGATTGCCCTCTTTGATTCTCCTTTCACTTAATGATGAGAAGAAAATTTAAAGACTGCTCCCCATTTCCTACTAGGAAGAGGTGAGGAGAGAGCTAGTTATTATTGGAAAGCCATCTGCTGCATTCTATTGTAGAATGTACACTACTTTTAGGTTCTAGATTTACTTAGGTAATTTATTTCTCCTTCTTTCTGAGTCCATTTTTTAATCTCCTATGAGACAGTAGGTACAATTAGGGGGAAAAAAAAACCTCCACCACTGTGATGAGTCGTGGGTGCGAGACTTCATTAATTCATTGAACAAACTCATTTTGAGTGCAGTTACATAGTTTCTGAATAGCAATGGCTTCAGAAGGACTCTTTCTGCCCCAAAGGGCATTGCAGGCCAGAAGGAGAAGATCTTTTGGACAATGTAGCAGTCAGGCCATGCGCGAGAGGCTGGAGTGAGCTCTAGATGGAGGCTGAAGAGGGCTGAAGAAACACCGAGAAGGAAGCTGGGACAGATGCCAAATTTTGGAAAAACCATGACAGAAATACAGTGAGATCAGTTGTCTGTAGTCACCTAGAACTGTATGATAGTTCTCTCCCCTCCCTCCCCCCCTTCCTGCCCCCTTTC